AGTGAATATCTGAGAATGATAACATCAGCAAATCATGCACTGCAACATCGTATACAGTACATATTACTAATGATAAGAGCGGTCGTTAAGCACGGCTGTCATAACTCGAATTGTGTGTGCTGCATGTATATTCACACGTATAATAAAGCACATAGGAGGCACAGTTATAGAGACTTCCTGGACATAACCAAACATCTCACAGGATTGGTTTACTGGGTTTGAAGGCTTAGGATCAAGTTTCATGAGACAACTCAGTCAATTAGCACAACATAGTTTATAAACTTTATGTTCTACATCCTAGTTTGGTGAGTAGCATCTAGGGTCTTAAAAGCTTGCAAGTAGCCATTTAAGATACAACTGTTGGTCTCTACTCTTCTAGAGCAAAAGAGAAAGGACACCAATGACTCAATGAACAACCAAGTCTACAGGACTAACAGCCTACGTGAACCACAGCCTCATCTATCCTGAGACCAGAAGAACTAGATGGTGCCCAGTTACCACCACTGACTGTTCTGACCAGGGACACAATAGATGGTCCTGGATAAAATGGAAGAAAAACATAGAACAAAATTCAACTCTTAAAAAAAGGCCAGACTTATTGGACTGGTAGAGACTAGAGGAACCCCTTAGACTGTTGCCCTGAGATACTGTTTAAACTTGGAACTGAAACCACTCCCAGAGTTCACCTTTCAGTTAAAAAACAGATTGGATCATAAAAGAAACAACATCACTAGTGAGTACTGAGCACTTTATAAAAGAAAAAAATCATCTATATGAGACCAAATGGTCAACATTTACCCTAAAGCAAAGATGAGATAGTAAGGGGGGATAGGGAAGCTAGATTAATGGAAACAGAACAACCAGAATGGAAATAAAGAGAATGGTGACACATTGTGAAAAATTAACAAAAGCCACTGAACAATATGTATATATAGGAATTGTTAAATGGGAACCTAATTTGCTGTGTAAACTTTCACCAAAAACACAATATTTTTTAAAAAAGAAATATTAGCACTAAAAAAAAAAAAAAAAAAAAAAAAAAACCCACAGATACCAATTCTCAGACATCAGATTGGCAAAAATTCAAAATGTCAAAGAGATGTGGAAATAACCCAAACACCCACTAACAGTAGAATAGCTCAGTAAATCATGAGATATTTGCATGATGAAATATACTACACAGCAGTGACAGCGAATCAACTTCTGACACCTATATCCAAAGGTAAAAATCTCAAAATACATTTTGAGTAAACTAAGCAAGTAATGCAGTACTTAAAGAATATAGGTAGCACAATTCTAAATTAAGTTCAAAAATAGGCTAAACTAAACAACGTATCATTCAGGCACAGCGATGTGAAAAAACTAGAAAGAAAAGCAAGGAAATAATTCATGAAAAAAAACAGGACAGTGGTTGTCACTAGGAGGAAAGTGCAATTAATATGAGGGAAAGGTACACAGGTGGCTTCTAAGGTACTGATAGTGCACTATTTCTTAACTTGGATGCTAAGTAGATGCGTGTTCATTATTATTCTTAAATATGTTTTCATAGACTCTTTTGCAAATATATTTCACAATAAAAAGTTTCTTAAATACGAAAAATTCCAGTAATATTACCCATTTAAGGATCAATGAAGTATTCTTATAATATTAACGTAAGCATTCAAATGAAACTATTCAATAAGTATCTCCAGCTTAACATGCTGCAAACTGAAATCCTGGTTTCCAACCCCCCACACTTGCTCTTCCTGTTGTCTATCCCACCTACGTAAATGGCATCAGCAGCCTCCCAGTTGCTCAGCCCAAAAACCTTGAAGTCATCCTTGATCTCTCTCTCTCTTTCACTCAAATCCCACACCCAAACCATCTGCAAATCGTGTTATCTCTCCTTAAATCATATGTGAAATCCATTCACTTCTCATCAACTTCACCGTACTACCGAGGTCAAGCCACCAGCATCGCTCACGTGGATAACTGCCACAGCCTCCTTCCTGGTCTCCCTGTTGCTCCCCTCTCTACAGTCCGTTCTTAACTCGCAGCCAGAGTGACTGCTCTAAATTGTAAGTTGGGGCAAGTCATCCTTTGCTCAAAACTCACCTGGTGTTTGTTGTTGTCAGCGGCCATCGAGTCAGAGTAGAACGATGCTCTGTAGGGTTTTCACGGCTGTGACTTTTTAGAAGCAGATCGCCAGGCCTGTCTTCCGAGGAGCTTCTGGGTGGGTTTGAACAGCCAGCCTTTCGGCTAGTAGTTGGGTGCTTAACCATTTGCACCACCCAGGAGACTCCCATTTCCCTCAGAGTAAAAGCCAGGAATTCATATGACGGCCTACTTGGTCCTCCCAATTCCAGCTCCTACTACCTCTCCTTCACTCTCTCCCTCACCCCAACTGCTCCAGCCACAATCTTGCTATTCCTCACACATGCCAAGCAAGTTCCAGCCTTGGGCCCTCCCTTCCAATCCACATGGCTTGCTCCCTTATTTCCTTCATGTCAAGAGCCCAAGTGACACCATATTAGAGAGGCTCACTGGGACTAAACCTGTTAACCCATGGCCGTCGAGTTGATTCCGACTCATAGCGACCCTACAGGACAGAGGAGAACTGTCCCATTGGATTTCCAAGGAGCGGCTGGTAGATTTGAACTGCCAACCTTTTGGTTAGCAGCTGAGCTCTTAACCACTGTATCATGAGGGCTCCTAACTGGGTCCATCTTCTGTAAAACAGAAAACCACTCCTGCAACCCAACACTCCCTTTCCCCTCACTTGTCTATCACTCTCCAACCAATCACCATCTAACTGACCGTGTATTTTCTTATTTATTGCCAGTCTCCGCTCACTAGAATGAAAGCTCCATGTGGGAAGAATTTTTATGTTTTGTTTCCTACTACATCCCCAGTACCTAGAAGCATGCCTAAGTAAGGGCTTAATAATATTTGAACAAAGGAACAACCTTTTATAAAACTGGTTTTTAAATAATAAGCATTCGTTATAATTTCAAGTTATGAAATCAACTTATGAAAGTACAAAATTCATAAACAGGCATGAAAAGATAAATTAAGTATCACTATATAAAAAATCAAGCACATGCATGCGTTCCCCTGAATTTCTCTGTTTCCAAAGGGAAACAAAGAAATAGCTAGGAGTCCAACTTGCAAGGAATTTAAAACTGATTTTAAAGAAATCAAGAAAAGCAAAGTACGCCAGACTTTTATAAAGCAAAACTGAAATAAACCTATCATTAGTAGCCCATACCTCCACATGAATTAATGTACTCTTGTGCAGTTAAGTTCTAAGGTAGAAGAACTTCCTAACTCAGCAAAACAAGCCTTAATTACTTGCCAAGCCAACAGGAAATCAAGAAGGCCAAAAACAATGCAGGCTAGAAGGCCCCCTAAACATCATCCAGCACTGCCCTTGGCTGCCATCGAGTCAGCCCCCAACTCATGGCGACTCCACGCACCACAGAACGAAACGCTGCCTGGTCCAGTGCCATCCCCATGATCAGCTGCCGATCAGACGACTGTCATCCACAGGGTTTTCACTGGCTGATTTTCAGAAGTAGATTGCTAGGTCTTTCTTCCTAGGATGTCTTAGTTTGGAAGCTCTGCTGAAACCTGTTCAGCATCACAGCAACACAAACGACGAGCCTCCACTGACAGACGGGTGGTGACTGTGCATGAGGTGCATTGGCCAGGAATTGAACCAGGGTCTCCCGCATGGAAGGAGAGAATTCTACCACTGAACCCCCACTGCCCCATTCACCCAGTATTAGCCCCTTTATTTTTACAAAAGAAGAAACTGAAGACCTGAAATGACTGAAATGACCTGGGGGGAACTCGAAAGCGTTCTGTGCCAAAATTAGCAATAATGGGAAAACACTACAAGCGACAAAAAAAAAAAAAAACAATTTAGTTTGCCCGTTCAGTTGTGGTCCTTGCTATGGTAAAATTCTGCTTTTATAAAACTAGAGACAAAATGCATCTCCATGGAAACAATGTTTCCCAAGTATACATGGGCGACTGAAAAGTATGGTTTTCTATGCAGGTCTTCTCATCCTAAGTACATACATAAGATTTGGGGTAGAAAGATACTAAAAAGAGCAGAGCTTTATAATCAGACAGGTCTGGATTTGAATTCTGGCTCCACCACTGACTTTGATCTTAGGCAAGTTACTAAGCCTATCCAAATGGCCTAGTTTTTTAATTAGCAAGATAGGGATAATTAATACCTACCGTATAAGTTTGTTAAGAATATTTAAAAAGTGCTAGTCATCTAATTAAGGGTCTCATACGTTCCTGGCTACAGTCCACCTGCAGACTTTCTGACCTTTTATTTACAGCTGCATAATGCTCAGTAAGAATCACCATCACTGATGGGCCTCTGTTAGTTTTTTGATTAACGTACTATCAGCTGCTGAGCATGGGAATTCTACCAACGGCAGAGGATGGCACAGCTGACATTGCTATCGATAGGTATTTGTCAATAATGATAGCAGCTACCAAGTGCTACCCGTGTAAGGCAAAATAAAAGGTTGTGTAAGATTTTTTCTTAAGACGTTAAGGTTAAATCATCTGTTTCCGACTACACGTATGAAGCCTGATCAATTACACCATTTCAAAACTGGAAGGAATCCTGGAGGTCATACTGCAGGAATCCTCTCCACAATATGTTAGATGACATGAGATGACCAACTTCCATGAAAGCCTTCTAGTACACCAAGGTCTTCAACAGGTAGAAGTTTATAACATTTTCTAACCTTTCTAACTATCAGAAGAGCGTTTTCCCCCCATTAGAATGGATAAGTGATGAAAAAGTGAATGGCAATGTGCACATGCCACACACACTACACGCTTTTGCAAATGTATATCTCTACATACTGTTTTCATTTGGGGGTGGAAGAAGACAAGTTCCAAAACTGCATCCTGAAATTTATATTTATGTCCTTGTAACAAAATACATCTTAGAAACTCTCCCCATAAATGTATAAAACCTGGAGAAAACATACCTGGGATGATATCGTTGATATGCAAAAGGAGTGTACTTTCAACACTTGCAAAACTACAAAGCTGTATTCCATTAAATTTTCCATCCCAGTTGCCAATAGGATTATCCTAGAAATCAAATAATAAACTTTTAAAAAAAACCCTCCTCAATAAAATATAAATATGGAAGTTTGTATTTTCCATAAAAGAGACCTCCAAAAAATTTTACACTGGTAAATTTTCACTATTTTGCCTAAAAGAAAAATGCTATATTAGGAATAATTGCCACTGCAACAAAGATTTCTCTTTGGTGGAGAGATGAAATCCAAGAATAATCAAGTCACAGTAAACCCACAGACGAGAAAGGAATCAAAAGTGTTTTTAATATTTTACTGGACAATAAATACTAGTTTATATAACGACATCCATCTGAGGTCTACAAAGACATTATCTTGCATCAAAAGATTATTAATAATACATTAATTAATCCTAGCTTGCTCTGATCACTCCTTAGCAGTCCCTCAGTACGTAAATATTCGATTAGAACTCCTGTACGCCTTTCTGTACACAGGAAGTCTAGTTTTTCATTGTTCCTTTGTCATTTTATGGGTATGCAAGACTTTCCTCCACAGTGGAGATTTTGAATTTAATTATTTTATAGTCCAGCATAGGGCCACCTAGTGGTATGGTGCATGGCACCTGATCAAAGAATGCGCCCGTCAGACAAGTGCCCTTGAGTGCCAATCTGTTCAGAGTGCTAAAATAGCTCTGAAAATAGAAGTAGACAAAGAAAATTTACAGAACTTTCCTCTCAAGGAGTATACCAGAGGTGTTTGGAGTGAAAGCTTGCACAAGCCATCTGGGTGACAGAGGGCAGAGGGGAAGAAGCTGGGGGGCGGGGGGCAGACTTCTAGGAAGCTTGCAACCGGTAGATGAGATGATCCCCAGACTGCCACATGAGGAAGGGAAAGCCTCAATGGCTTCTGCCAAATTTGGAGCCTGAACGGAATGTCCTGAAGAAACCGCAGACTAACCCCAGCGATCAGTGATCCTCCTTTTCCAATCTTCCTCCCACCCACCCCACAATCTTTCTAAATAAACATGAATTAATATTTTTAAAATAGTGGTTTAAACAGGTGCTTTACTGTTAGTTTTCCTGAGCGACAAAGTGTGGTTCAAACTTTGCACATAGCCAAGTATTCAGTGAATCCTTGTTTGGTAACTAACTCACAGCGACCCTATAAGACAGACTAGAACTGCCCCATAGGGTTTCCAAGGAGCTCCTGGTAAATTTGAACTGCTGACCTTTTGGTTAGCAACTATAGCACAGCGTAGCTCTTAACCACTACGCCACCAGGGTTTCCAACTACTAATGGCAAAGAGAATTTCCTAGATGAGATAGTTAAGCTCAAAATAACAGAAATTTATGGTAGGACATGCATACCTTACCAACCAAAAAGTATACCCAAAGAAACTAAAAATACTTACTAATATACTTCCATGATGAGTACAAGAGTGTATCGCTCACATTCTCTCCCGCTACTCATTCTAAAACCCATTGCCCTCAAGTCGATTCCGACTCATTGTAACCCTATACAACAGAGTAGAACTGCCCCCATAAGGTTTCCAAGGAGTGGCTGGAGGATTCGAACTGCCGACCTTTCGGTTAGCAGCCGAGCTCTTAACCACTGCACACCGGGGCTCCGCTACTCATTTTAGTGTTTAATAATTCTGTATGAATTCCCTTCTTTATACCTAACAAAATCTTGCCCATATCTTCAATCTACTTTAAGCATGTTTTCAGCCTTTTTCTTCTTCTCTTAATGCACAGGTATAGTTCAACTTACCATACTGGAATGTATTTTTTATTAATAAGTGTAATTGTAAGGTAAGTGTAATTGTAATTAACTGTAAGTATAATTAATAAGTGTAATTATAAGTGACACCCTAAGAGAAAATTGAAAATTGTCTATTCCTCAAAAGCCAAGTGCTTTTCCTATACTCCCATACTTTCCTTAGGTGATTGTTATAAACCAAAACAAAACCCAGTGCCGTGGAGTCAATTACAACTCATAGCGACCCTGTAGGATGGAGCAGAACTACCCCATAGGGTCTCCAAGAAGTATCTGGTGGGCTTGATTGAACTGCTGACCTTTTGGTTAGCAACCGTAGCTCTCAACCACTGCACCACCAGGGCTCCAGTGATTTTTATACTAGTCATTAAAATTAGTCAGAGCCAATAAAATTTTGTAAAACATTATAAAAAAACAGATTACCAAAAAAAAAAGAAGTATTTTCAAAATAAAAAAAATAACACATCAATTGAAACATTGGTTGTTTTTCAGTTTGTTTTCTGTCTACTGGTCAGCTATAAAACGATAAAGGTGGAGGTTGAAAACATTATTCCCAATTTATTCAAACTGGACAAAAGAGTAAATATAATTCTATATCCAGAGTACTGTACCACTTCAATGGTCCTATTCCAAACGTAAATTGGAACACATTCTTTAAATTACTCCAAATAAGTCCATTTTAAATATTCAAAGTATTCAATCTGTACTGAAATTGGTCATAAAACTAACAGATAAATTCATAAAGATAAAATAATCCAAAATTTTCTTACCATGTCCACACCAACAAAATATCCTAAGCTTTCTTTTCCTGGCAAAACATCACAGAATATAACTGTTCCAGATTCTAAAGTTTCTCCAACCTTCAAAGAAACTCTGGAGTTTATTTCCAAAGGGGGGAGTTCAACTTGCATTGTGTCCACTGGCCCTGCATAATCACTTTCCAAACCAGTGTCATCAACTTCTATGATTTCTAGCTTGTCCAAGGCAACAAACACTCCACAATCTTCCTCACACTGAAAAAGCTGCTTCCCTTGGTAGATTCCATCAGTGAACCCTTGGCCACGACCTTCTTCCTAGTTTTTAAGAGAGAGGGAAAAAGGAGACATAGATGATGCACAGGAAAAAGAAATTCCCAGGGTGTCGTTCTGAAAAAATTCCTAATTACATAAGAAACAGAATTGTTAGCAGTTGATGTTATACTTAGGAGGGTGAAAAATAAAAATAGAAAAGGTGTACCTGATGCTAAAATACAATTACCTCGCAAGGAGATTTAAAACTCTATTAAGTAAAATTTAAAAATCAATTCCATTTATTTAAACACTGGGCTGGATTCTATAATGTAGTTTTACCAATCATTTTGTCATAAAAAGACCAATTTATTTTAAAATAAACATTAGCTTCATTTACTGAGCACTTACTATGTATCAGCCACTGTGCTAAATTCTGCATCAATACATCACAAAAACACTGTAAATTGCATAAGACTATCACTATCTTACAGGTAAGGAAACAAATTTAGAGACGCTAACGAACTTGGTTAAGTAACTTGGTAACTCAGTAAATGGCATACATAGTTGAGATTCAAATACCTAATTGTTTTACAATTGCTGCTAAAAATATATTAAATTAAGAAGTAAGCAAACAAATACGGCATGAAATTCTATCTGCAAGAATGCCAAAATGTTATTGGCATTTAAGTTCTCAAGAATTAATGTTAAGTTTCAAAACATAATCACAGAGTCCTTGGGTATCTCTTCAGTAGAAATAAATTCCAAGATGATTTTCATACGTATTATGTAATATCTATAAGCAAGTTTAAAAATGCTGCAACTTAATAAAAAACTTACATCCAAATTATGATTACATACTAGCACACATCAGGAAAAGCTGAGAATCCCACAGATGATAATATCACAACTATCAATGAACAATTTTGTGGAATAATTAGTTTACAAACTGGTAGGGTTTAATATTGTTGGGTTGTTAGGTGCCATCGAGTCACTTCCAACCCACAGCTACCCAATGTGCAACGGAACAAAACACTGCTTGACTGCTAACCTAAAGGTTGGTGGTTCAAACCTACCCAGTGGTTCCATGGAAGAAAAGGGCAGTACCACAAAAAAAAAGGCCTGGCAATTTGCTTCCATTAAGATTTCAGGAAAGACTGGAGGGCATTATGCTGAGTGAATTTAGTCAGTCACAGGAGGACAAATATTATATAAGACCACTATTATAAGAACTCAAGAAAAGGTTTAAACTCAGAAGAAAACATTCTTTGATGGTTACGAAGGTGGGTAGAGAGGGTGAGGGTTATTTACTAACTAGACAGTAGATAAGAATTATCTTAGATGAAGGGAAGGACAGCACACACTACAGGGGAAGTCAGCACAACTGGACTAAACCAAAGCTAAGAAGTTTCCTGAATACAATCAAAT